GGAGGGGGACTAAATAGATAAATTGTGTCACATCAAATTCGAAATTCGTTCTGTTTTGTGACTACACTCTCATTGAAATTCATTATAATAATAAATGATTTTAAATAGATGAAATAATTTATGTAAGATGCGTATTAAAAAGAGATAAAACCTGATACGGAGAACATTAAGAAGTTATTCTGTTTGAATGGAAAGGATTATAGAAGTATAGTGTGAAAAATTAATGATAGCTCCTAAATATGTTTTTCTGTTCTTTAATTTAATTTAACCTCTATGCTAAATGAAAGTTACCAATTGATACAAAATTCAAAAAGTCAGCGAAACTGAAAATTTAAACTTTCGCACATGAAATCAGGACATGATGATTTATATTAGTATCCATGGGTCTTTATTTTTTCTAGCTAAATTGTAGGAAACCGGAAATACAGAAATAAAAGTTTGAAGATTTATTACACATTATAAATTAAATTGATTTTATTTATATTTTTTGATTGTTTATTTTTATTCATTTTTACAAGTTCTAATGTACGAACAATGTTTTAAACATTTTCGTACATTAGAACTTAATAAAACGGTTAATGAATTATTGTAATACTATTAGTAGAGATTTGGTATCAATACTAACTGCATAGACATAGTCCATCTATTACAGCGAATAAGCTTGTCAAAAATCCTTTATTCTAAAGTATTACTACTTTTCTTACAAATAAATTTCGGAATCAGGATCCTCTAATTCATGCCGAGCCATCCATGGAAGCTGTGGAAGCTCCACTTCCCTTGTATTTTCTAAAATATAAATGCATATTGTGCGATTATTTTCATATTTTAACGTACTGTACTTTTTAAATCACTTAAAATTAATATTTTATTGTAATTGCATTGTGTATTTTATTACAAATTTATATACATATGAAAAGCAATGATAAGATTCGAATATAAATTCGTATATGCATTTTTCCGATGGAAGCGCTGTATTGTCGAATACAAGATAGCTTCCACGGAGAAAATATTTGAATCGTTTAAAGTAGCCAGTTTACAGAGCACAAGCTTTACGTGGTTTAACTTGTGGATGCTACACACCAAAATATCGTATAACGCTTCCAATGATAGAATCATTGGAAGCGGCCACTCGTAGGGAGCTATTTGACTAAGTGCATTGTTTTAAGATTTAAGAAGTAAAGAAAAATTTTATGTTATTTTTATGTGCGTTTCTTTACAAAGCTATGCTTAAAATAAATAAACTGTTTATTTTTGTCATTTCCAGTATTTGTTTAAAATTTTTATGGAAACACAGCTTCCCTATCATCAAATGTCACTGCAAGCCAATGCCCTAATCAGAGTGCTATACAGTACATCTGCATCATAATGTAATTGTATAATCCAAACAAAACATCTGAGATGTAAAAAAATTACGCCAAGTAAAATTTATGACAATTTATGCCACGGTAAAAATTTTTCTTAGGAGTTTTTCTTTGGTAAAGATAAAAGCGATAAAAGCTTTGCGCTTAAGGCGAAATTTAAGGTAAATACGGGTATAAATCTTGTGAGTACCGCTTCCAAGCGCCAAGTTTACTTTTACCAAAATTTAACTGTTGTCTAGTCATAAATTTTTACTTGGTGAATATTTTACATCTCACATGTTTTTATTTGAATATAAATTGTTTTTGTTTAATAATTGTGTTATTACGTCAAGACATAAAATTGGCCGCGGACTAAACCAAATGCATTGCCAACCGAACACTTTCAATATTCATTTCGAAGTTAAGTGAGCACCTCACTGATAACGAGAAAGGCTTAAATTAAAAATTAGAGGTTTCTAGACCTAGTAGTTATTTTTTCTTTGCGAGAGTCTGCAGTACGGAATGAAGAAAAAGAAGAAAATATAGTTTTTTGGCTCATTAATTTTTCTATTAGAATTACTATTCAAAACGCTAGGCGTTAATTTTTTCATGAATGTTCATAATCTAAGATTTAATTTAATTAGATTTAAGAATCTAAGATTAATATTAAGCCATAATCAATCAATGTTATAATCAATTAAATTGCAATGTTGAAAAAGATAGAAATATATCTAGAGTATCTCAGGTCAGCCTTATGCTCCATAATCCTGGATTTTATTTTTATACTCGTTTTACCAATGTAAACTGTTTTATCTTTACAATTACATGGGGATTGAGTATACAACACCAGCCCTTTCCATTCTATAACTATCAACTTTTGAATGTTTACTTTAGTCAGTTTTTAAACTTTCTTGTGAGTTCCAAACTTATATTAAATTTATTAACCTTTTAAAATTTTTCATATAGGCGTTTTATATAAGGAACATGAAATTTCTTTTATTTTTTACATTATATGTAGTAATCGAGACTGGTAAAACTAAGTTGTAAAATAGTACTATTTCTCAATTTTTCTATATTTAGAATAATATTTAGTAGAAAACTAAAATAGTTTTTCTATGTGAGGGGCTAGCCGGGGATACGGAGTAGTTATTACTCGTGTACCACTTAATCGGCAACTATTCCTTGAGAATAGCCCTCTGATTGTCAATAAGAATGGCTTTTCCCTAATTCAAGGAAAATCGAGTGTGAGGGATTTACAGATTTAGTAATTTTAAAGCGGGACTAAAGGATTTCACAATCCCTCGTTCCCTCGTCAGGATTCCTGACACCAGTTAATCAAATTTAGAAGACGCGGATTAACACGCGTACGACAATGATAACAAGGTTTTGATTCAAACACTCGAGAGACATTTCTTAAACAATAAAATAAAAGAATTTAATAAAACAAAAATAAACGAATTGACACAAAATTGAGATAACAATAATTAAGCGATTGAGAGAGAGAGCTCACAATGTTTAATATAACCATACTACCTCTAGATGATTTCTCTTTATCTTCACCTTTTAGTTTCTTTACACTTCAGTTCATGGAGAGGTCATGAGAAGCACATAATTATATATTTTCTTCTTTCCTTACTAACTTAATATCATTATTGAAATTGGCTGGATACGACTAAGGGCGTTGGCCTTAAGGACGCGGTATGGAATTCGTCTTCCTTCTATGGAATCTCGTGACGTACTTCCCGAATATGGCAAAACTCTTTCTATATCTCCTCTTTTTCATCCAATCAACACTTTGGATTCTTTCACGTGAATAGAGGAAAAGGGGATGTATTGAGGGGTTGACAGTTCCAGAGTGTTGAGATTTTTGGTAGATAATGGTAAAACAGAAGGATGTTTCAACTTCCGTTAAAGGAAGTGACTTTTTAGCGGTTTTCCACGTTTAGAAAACGAGAATTTCACACGAAAAATGAAAGAATGTTTTCTTTAAAAAATTTACTTTATAATTTAATTATTAATTAGTCCCATGGTCTATTCGGATCATACATCTAGTTTACATCACTAACAGAATCATCATTTAAATGCATTTTATTTTTGAAAATATTTAAATTACTAGCTACTTATTATATTATATGAAATATTGTTATATTTTTTTATTTGAAATAAGATATAAGAATTAATAAGAATTAGTAATAAGATACATTACATATAAGACGTTGAAATAACACTAGAAACTAGACCAGTGGTTCCCAATTAGTTTTTACTGCGTAACACTTCAAGAAAGAGCTCAAACTCGAGTACCCCATATAGCAGAAATTCATATTAATCCANCGATATGTCATCGAAAAGAAAACGTGTTGTATTATCATTAAAAGACAAATTAAAGTATTTGTTTCGATTATCCGGATTTTTCCTTATCCGGACTACCTTCATCCCCAATTAGTCCGGATAATCGAGGTTCTACTGTATTGTTATATTTTTTTATTTGAAATAAGATATAAGAATTAATAAGAATTAGTAATAAGATACATTACATATAAGACGTTGAAATAACACTAGAAACTAGACCAGTGGTTCCCAATTAGTTTTTACTGCGTAACACTTCAAGAAAGAGCTCAAACTCGAGTACCCCATATAGCAGAAATTCATATTAATCCATACGAATATTATAAATTCGAAGGTAATTCTGTTTGTCTGTCTGTTACCTTTTCACGTCTAAACCGCTGAACAGGTTTTAATAAAATTTGGCACAGAGATAGCTTACATGTTGGAGATGGACATAGGCTACATTTTACTGCGAGAAAATTCGATATAATGCGGGCGAAGCTGTGGGTAGACAGCTAGTGATAAAGAGAATAAGTTTTTTTTCTTTTTTACATTTATTACCTTTAAAATACAATTCTAATAAAAATGAAAATAACATAAGGTTATTTAATTTTATTTTAATGTGACAAATGTGCATGATTTTCTTTGCACAACTTTGTAAAATCTGGTCAACTTCAGTCTCAAGTCATCTTCGAGTTCAAGTCGGTGACTATGTTTAGTTTTGATATTTGTCATGGCCGAAAATCCGAACTCGCAGAGGTATGTTGTGCAAAATGGTAGTAAATATTTTATTGCCGCTTCGCTGACATGATGAATGCCTTTCAGGTCAGCTCAAAAATTACTCAGTGATTGCTCTGCAAAACACTTGAGTCTGCTGTTGCATGAAATGTCTATTAATTCCTCTTATTTACCCAGTTCCATTCCGGCGATATATTTCTGAGAAATAACTTCGTAACTCCGCCGACAAATTTTGCAAGTGGCATTTTATGACTGATTTTACATCTTCATTTAATGACAAAGAAGTTGTTTCCAAAAAAGTTTCAGATTCGGAAACTGGTCATATTTACATTTGTTTATCAAAAATGTCCAGAGGGATATTTTTTTAATAGTTGACTCAACTTTCTCCTGCATAGTGAATATGGTTATATCCTGGTCTTGAAGACCCAAATTCAACTCATTCAACTTTGTGAAAATATCTGACAAGTAAGCTAATTTTTGCAGCCACAAAGGGTCAGTCAGCATCTGTTTGTACTCATCATATTTATACTCGACCAAAAATAACTCAATTTTATGTCTCAACTCAAATATTCTTGAAACAACTCTTCCTCTGGACAGCTAGTGCACTTCAGTGTGTAACAACAGGGTCTCGCGCTCACTGTCAAGTGTGTAACAAATGGCTGCGAAAATTCTTGAGTTTATGGAATGGGCCTTGATTAAGTTGACAATCTTTACAGCATTTTTAAGAGTGAAGTCTAAGCTGGTTGGAATTTTTTTACAAACAAGTGCCTCTGGATGAATTCCACAGTGGGTCCATTTTGCTTCTGGAGCTTTATCTTGTATCCGCTTCACAAGTCCTGAAAAATGACCAGTCATTGCTCTGGCACCATCAGTGCATATGCCCACACATTTTGACCAATCCATTTTGTTTTCATCTATAAAACCGTCGACAATGCGAAATATATACTCTCCGGTGGTGCGAATCGGAAGGGCACGACAAAACAGGAACTCTTCGTGAAACTTTCTGGAATGAACGTAACGAACGTATGCTAAAAGTTGAGCCAACTTTGATATGTCTGTGGGCTCATCAAGTTGTATGGCAAAGAAGTCGTTTTGTAAAATGCGTTGAACTTGATCACTTTTCAGACTATCTGACATGTCTGCAATACAACGAGAGACAGTGTTATTCGACAGGGGAATAACATCAAGTTCTCGTGAAATAGAAAATTTCACCATGTGGCTACAATATATATTGTATATGTTACTGTGAAAGACCGATATCTGGCAAATGTCGATATTCTCTGGTGAATTTCAGCGTTCACATAGTCGCTTGTTGTATGTACGAAATATTTGCTAAACATCATTATTTCTCACTTACACCGGCAAATGTCGACAATCAGTATGCACTGATGGTGAATGTTGAATAAAAATATTTTTATTACGTGAAGACAAAAATGCAACTTTTTAATTTATGATATATGTCAAAATAGGAGAAGGCTTAAGTAACAGCACATGTAAATAAACTGTTGAACATAAAACGAAAGGATTACTATAGCGTCAAATTGATTCCCAAACCCACCAGCGCTAACACTTACAAAAAATACAGGCCGATCTGCCTTCTCCCAACTCTGGAAAAAAATGTTAGACGGTCTAATGATTAATAGGATCCCATGGCATCTACGCAAGTGTAGAGCCCTGCATCAGAATCAGTTCGGCTTCTCTAAAAACAAAGGTACAATAGATGCCATCCGTCAGGTCGTTAACTACATCCACCAGGCTAAACAAAACAATCAGCATACAGCAATTATCACTATTGACTTTAGAGACGCCTTCGATCACGCCTGGTGGCGTGATCGAAGGCGTCATGGATGGCAAGACAGCTTGGACCATGACACTACTGGTAGGCTCAGCAACACTTTTATCCCCGATCGAAAGCACCTTTCATCCTGCACATATTACACGCTCATAATTGCCCTCAAAATCTTTACAAACTTCTTCAGTCCTATCTTAGCAACAGGAGTGCAGATGTTTATACAACACAAAATAACATAGTCATACCCATCACTTGAGGCTGTCCTTAGGGATCCAGGTCTGGTCCTGATCTCTGTCTATAACTCTATTCTGTACTTAAACGACACCCTGCCTCCTGGCTGCCGCATACAGGCTATGAGGACGACATAATTATCCTAGCTTCACACAGGAACAGCGATTGCTTACAGGACATATGCAACGACATTCTCAAAACGTTCACCAGTGGAGTATTAACAGGTCAGTCGAAAAGACATCTTACTATGCAATCCCTGAGACATATATGGATGTAAGCTCCTTCCAGCATCGTAGAAGAAACAGCGAGACGAAATCGACCTTGCCTCGAGCTTAACGTTTAAAAAACTTCTTAACTGAGTTCCATTGACCAACTCTCTTCTGGCGTGAAGTTCTAAGCCAAGCTTAAACCGAATTCAACTTTCCCGCCTAAACTTCAACCTTTTTATATGGATTGAAGTCAGGATTGATTGACCAATCAGCGCTTCGTGGCTCTGTCAGAGGTCCGCTGGGGGTCCGATGATCGGCGGCCAATCAGCGACCACGCATTCAAAACCAATGGTCGTTTCTCCAACCGAGTTTCTATGGCGTCGACCGTTACCCGTTTGAAATAGAGAAAAAGGCGGGAATTGTGTTTCTGCACGATTCTATCCCGACAGCAAGAATAATTTATTTTTTGTCTTATGATCTAAATTTTAAAATTACTTCATTTTTAAATTAGAATTTTATTGCTATTATCTGAATTTAGCACTATTATTCGCACTATTTTCTATGCTCATAAAATATAGTGAAATTATATAGAACCTGAGAAAAATGTACTTATTAATATAATATATACTATATTAAAATATGTATACATGGATTTTTATAATATGTAATAAAAATTATTATTTTTTTAAAGTTATATATTATAGAAATAAAAGTTGTGCGTAGATTGTATAAATTATTGATTATTACAGTATTATACTTTTTAATGTCTGTTCAATACTCTCAGTAAAGTTCAAAACACCACACATACACCGATGAAATTCAAAACTTAAATATATATTGAAAGAAACGTATGTACAGTTACAAAAGTTCACAAAACAAACATTTACAAAACATCAATCGTAACAAAGTTCAACACGTATCCACTATCACAGGTCCGTCGAAAAGACACCTTGCGACGAACTAACTCTAAAGTCCTTTACAGTCTAACGAGACGAAACAATCTTCGGGGCCAGCTTAGGAGAACTAGGCTTAGGCGAACTAAGACCAAACGTGAGTCCACTTTCTGAGTCCACGGTGAACTCTACTTCCCGCCACAACTAAATCCTTTTATAGGATTGAAGAAGAATTGGATTCCACCAATCAGCACTTAGCAGCTCTACAAGACGTTCGCCGATGGTGTGATGTCTCTCAACCAATGAGCGGTTGAGTTTTCAAAAGTGGTCTGATCGCTGTCTCTATGGCGACAACCGTCGTTAGTCGAACGATTGGAAAAGCGCGGGAAAACCGTTTGCCAGACGATTTTTATCCCGGCACTCTCATTAGAACTCCGCTTTATTTTTATTATTAATATTAACCATATTGACACAGTCTAACCATATATTGAAAGCGATAAGCTTGCCAAAACCCATTATTTTCAAATATTGCTCCATTTCATAAGAATCTATTTTGGGATTAAGACACCATTAATTAACGTTCACTTGTATCAAATTGTAATTTTATAATCATTTTTTTAAATTTTACATAATTTTAACAAAAACATATCTTAGGTTTTTCAGCAAGTTCGTATAAATCCTATCGAAATGATACGTAAGTCTTTCTTAAAATAATCAAAAGAATGATTGCCTAATACATTTCCGATTCACCCAATATATAATATATATTATATATTACATATAGAAAAAATATATATATACATTTTTCTTATTCCTTTATATAAAGAAATAAACATCTAAAAATGTCACACATAGCTAATCAGAATCAGAATTTCATCACTAGGTGACACTAGACACGACAACTCTGTGACACCAGATCTGTATTCTGCCAATCACACAAGTCTAACTTCACAATTCAGCTAACTGGAAGTGCCACCATTATTTATCTCTTACTTCGAAGATTTAATCAACGATCTGAAGTACTTACAACACTTTTTGATTTAAACATTTGTCGTAATCTGCATATATTTGATAGTAGTTAGTTATATATTCATTAAATACTTTTCTAATTAGTTTCGTTAGTTCCTAACCTAACATTTCGAATACTTGTATTTTTTCTACCGTTTTGTATGTACAGTACAGTGAAATAGTAGATCTATTGCATTATATTATATTACATTTTAAAATTTACTTTCTTAATTTGTAAAGTAATTTTTTAAAAAATTTGCATTATATAATTTTATTTTTAAATATCCGTCTCACTCTTAGCTAATCAATGCTCTTAGCCAATTAATTTAAAACAATTCTTTGTTTTATTGACAGACATTGGTTTTCTAAATATCCTTACAAAACTATAATTATAAAGTGTATCAAATTACAGTGGTGCCTCGTACAACGTACTTAATCCGTTCCAGGTGCACGTCCGTTAAGTGAAACGTCCGTTATACGAAACGCATTTTCCCATAGAAATACATGTTAAAACATATAATTCGTTCCGCAGCATAAAATAACCGTACTGTACCATAAAAAATGAAAATGGAGCAGACACCAATTATGCCGGGTAGTCAGATGTTGTGAGGAGGAGGTGGAAGAACACTTTCTTTACACATTCATACAGATACAGACTTTTTACACATTGCAGCGGGTCTTTTTTTATTGTTTTTTAATCGGAGTCAGATTCAGGAGAGGCTACCGGAACTTGCAGGGTCAACTTCTCTTGTTCCATCCTTTGTTTTTTGCCCGCTGGCTTCTTGAAAAACATGACCAAGGTGGTCTGTTTCTCTTTCTTCTTTAACACCTGTCGGAAATGACGGACAAAGGTGTCATCGTAGAGATCATTGATCCTGTTGGCCTCAGCTCTGTTTGGATAATGAGTGTTGGTAAACTCCTGAACCTCTCCCCATTCGACAAGAAAGTTTTTGTCAACTTTCACTCCTGATGATTTCTTGCTTTGTTTCAATTGAAATCACCTTTCTGTTTTTTTAGAAGCCATGATGCATTATAAATGACTTAACTTGCCAGATTATATGATACGAATAATTCTTTATTAATTAAGATCACTAAACACTTCTACGAGCTACTCTCGCTCCGTTTGTTTTTTACAACCTCTTTTCGTCCCGCCACCTCGGCATCTACACAATTACATTTCGTTTATTTGAATCGTCAACATATACTGTATTACATTACATTTAATGTTTATTTAAATCATCAACATATATTACATTACATTTCTACTTCAGATATACTAATAATACATTCTAATAATACTAATATATCCTAAAAATAGCAGATTGTCATTGGCAACGGCAAAAGAGTGGAAACATCATTCGCACTTGTTCGAAGAAAGTCCATTGTTCGTCTCACGTAACTGCCGAACGGAAAGTCCGTTGTTCGCAGCAAGTCCGTTGCTCGAGTCACGTAACGGTCAAACAGAAAGTCCGTTATTCGCAGCGTCCGTTATTCGAGGCGTACGTTATACGAGGCACCACTGTATTTAATACAAAATATGTTTATCATAGCGTATAAAAATTATAATATAAAACAACAATGTCGACAAATAAAAGAAATCTTAAACGTAGCAATTTATATATATATATATATACATCTCAATTTATACATTTAGAGGAATGCGGGGCAAGATGAGGACTTTAAGGTTTGAAGTCATAAGATGGCAACCACTTTGATGAAAACGATAATTTTGTATTCTTAGCAACTACAACATTTGATAATAGATAATACAAAATTTAATTTTTGAAAAACGTTTTTAAAACAAGAAACTTTAATATTTTAAAATTATGTGTAAATGTGTCATCTTGTCCCACCCATGGGGTAAGATGGGGATATTATTTTTATATACAAGAAGGACAAATGAAAATGGTTAAACTGTCGTTTTCTTTAATATTGGCACAAGAACAGTGTGCCCATTTATCACAACGGATTCATTTAGCCCAACTCTCTGTAGATGCAGAGTATAACCCACCATAATAGAGGCATTCTGTGTCATTTGTCTTTTGTTTCTTGTTAGGCATACCCTTGCTGATGCCTGTAACT